AGTGTGTATCATGTACTGGGATCAGCTATATTAAGAATGGCTCCAATTATAGCAGGATCTAAATTGGTTTTGGAAAAGCACACAGGGGTTGCATAACAATAATGGCAGGTGTTACCCTCCTTGTAGCATATGATACTCTGACCTGATTGTCTGAATCCGATTCACACATTCATAACAAAATATATGCAGATTTTTCAGACATACGTAAATCTCTCCCATCATATACTGCTTCGACACATAATATACTTATAATTAACTGTTGCTTTACAGTACAAGACAAATACTTAATATTTGTTAATATAGTGCAGTTCCAGTGTAGGGGGGGGGATTAATATGGAAGTGTCTGCAGCATTTAGAAGAATAACACATTTTCACCAACTCTCTTTGAAAATGGTCCTCTATAAAGTGGTAGAATCAGATTACAAAGTAATAAAAGGAGTTGTTCACATGTCCAAATATTTCCTAATCAGAAAAAAAAAAAATCTGTATTGACTTGGGGAAGAAAATGGTGGCCTGAACATGATTGATTGGCAATTTGATCGATGCAGAGAGGTATGCCTATTGTAGGAAAATGATGTTTTTAAAAATTATGTTGTGTGTTTAATTTAAACATGACAAGAAATAGCAAACATATACAATGTGCTATTGCTGAACATGTGCTTACATGTTGTATAAACATAGTATTGGCAGAAAATATTAATTTTACTAAGCAGCTGATAAACAGAAATGTGACTAATGGCAATCTACTGTTACTGAGTAATTATGCTGCAAATGATACCATAGCTCATCTTAGAGCCTATTGCTTATTTCCTAGCAGGACAGAATTGGGAAAAGTGAGAGAAAAAGAAAGTTGCCAAACTTATTTTTATGTCAGTTTTAAGGTAAGAAGTAAAATAAGGCACAACCTCTCTTGTTCAAATATCTTCTTTATATATGTAAATATAAAATTTATGTTTTTGTCTGCGCTAGATACACACATACAGCCAAGCAAACAAAAATCAAGATAGGCAAATGCTGGGTGAGATAACTGGCATGGAGATAATGCTTCTTAACCATAGGATAATCTAGAGCATCTTGAATGAAGCTCAGTACATACTTGCTCATGCATAATTTCAGAGAGTTCTTTTGCCATCTCTCTATAGTTAGCTTTCATTTCTTCTTGATATTCTATCTGGTCTTCTTTTATAAGCCGTTCATTTACTTCTAGAGCCTGCCCACAAGCTTCAATAAACTGCCTGAAATGAAAATGGAAGTAAAATAAAATGAGGTTAAAAGCATTCAAGTATCTTATGTCCAAGAAAAAAAATATTTTCAGAATGTTTACCTGAAAATTTCCTTCAGTGATTTGACTTTATTGTCTGGATATCTTTTGGTGCTTGTATCATCCAAGAAAGCTCTGGCATATGCTAATGGACCAGCATTAACCTAAAAGAAAAATGGCTGTTTGTTAATATAGTTGTTTTTCTCCTGTAATAACACTGAATGTCCTGAATCTCCTACAATACATGTTATAACCTGTGGGGAAATAATGTCACCGACAGTTGGAAGCATTTTCCTAACTAGACTGAAACTCTGCTTGTCCATTACCAATCACACGCACACAAGTAGTAGAAGGGGCCAATCCATAGCAGGGAATCTGCTCAGTGTCTAATACAGCTCTTGTGTGATTTAGAATAGGATGAGATGTACCATCTGAATAGGGCTACTTACAAAAATGATGTCTTGGTATAAGACACTGTGTGACTCAAATGTAGACCACATCAAATCCATTCCTCTTTTTTAGATTAGATTTTGATTATTTAAGTTATTATTTTAATATAATGAATAGCAGATGTTGAATAATAAAGGAAGGGAAATGNGAGTTTGTTTCAGGCTCTTAGGAAGCCTAAGTCAGAACAAAGATAACTTACTAGAAAAGAAGTCATATTGCATTTGCTGAGGTCAAGGTATCACCAAATTTTCTAAAAATTAAATTGGGAATTCCTCTTTCAGCAAAGCATCAAAATAGTTTTTGAGAAAAGCAAGACATTTCAATAAGACATCATCATCATACAATTCCACAAGTGTACTTCAATACATAGGATTAAATTTAACCTAAGTTTAGATTTCTAGTTCAGGTATAATACCTGCAAAATTCTAAGAAAGGCTTAAAGATCTGCATACGAGTTTTTAAAAAATCTAATAACTGAAAATGAAAACACCAAATATGAATCACTATTAAATTAAAGGTTGTAGAGCAAGATGATGGGCAAATTCCAGGAAATAATTGAGTTCTACTTACCTACATTCTAAAAAGTAGGTCTAATAAATTTATAATTACGTGTTCCTTTTAATTCTTATATAACGGTTAAATATTTATCTCAACTTGTTTTCAATTCTGAAGAAAATAAAGGCATCAGATAAAAAGAAAAGAAGGTAAAACAAATGTTAAAATCTGAATTACCTTTCCAATGTATTTTAGTTAAAAATGACTAAACCTTACATTATATTGAACATGTCTATTGTTTTAAGTATATTCTTTGCTTCCAATCAAAAAGTATAGACAATTTCTTCTGCAAAAAAGTGGCTAATTGAACTCTGAAAGTATGCCTCCATGCCCAAAACTTTGTATTTCTGACAGATTTTAATTCAACTTAAAATAAATTTTGCCTTCAAATTCTAAATATGAGTTTATACCATCTAAAATTTAGGTTTCTTTTAATATAAAGTTTTAATTCCTAGGCCAGAATTACTGTTTTAATTTTTTTATTTAGCATTTGGCATACGATTTACACTGTGTTATTGTTGATATTTCTATATTACCTACATTGTCATTTGTCATGACAAAGTTGTCATATTTTGGTTAAACTAATTAAAGAAATATGAAAAAACAGTCTAATTCTATGATACATCTAAATTTCCTTCATCTGTTTTGTACTTGAGTTTATCATTTTTTGCAAGATTGAATCTGGGTCAATCACCGGGACCAGAGATGTATTTTTCCGAGCTTTTGGACTCATGATAGAGCCCACCTTCAGGGAACTTCTCTTGGAAGAGTGAACCTCTGGTCCCAGTGACCAGCCCAGATTCAAACTTGCAACATTATCCTGAGACATGTATATTTACAATTTTTTACCTTTTTTAAATATAGTGTCTACCTTTCCTTTGAAAATGCTTAACGCAAATATTTTTTTTCTCATAATCCACTCTTGATACTATTGAAGTGTCCCACTCTCAAAAAAATTAATTACTTTTGTATCATTTTCTCAAATTTTGCTCTTAATGAAATCAATTATACTTTTAGATTTATAATAATTCCTTTAACATGAGCATGTATAT